AATTAATAATGTAGACAAGGTTTTTTCTAAATGCAAAATATTTAATTTATTGTATCAACTCATTAACACTAATCATTAATCACAACACTAATTATTAATCGCTCTGCGTCCTTTTTTTATAGGCGGCTGAGATTTGTCTTTTGCTGGGTCTTTTGCTTTGGGTTTATCAATTGGTCGTCCTCTTTTTGGTCTCAAAATTCGTTGTGGTGCCTTTTGAACATTAGTAGATGTTTTAATGGGTGTTTTTGTTTTGTTTGCTAACTTGTTTTCTTTTAATGTTGGTAGTGTAGGTGATGGTTTTGATTTCGAACTTTGTAATAAACCATTTTTGGTAGGATCTTCCTCAACTGCAATACTGACTCCTTTATCTGCATCTATATAACAAGTGCATAAGAATTATATTTTATAAAGATAAATTATTTTAGTGTAAAATCGTCACAAAAAGGGTACAAATGTACAACTTTAAAGTTATTCGTTCACATTGTTACTTTTCATGTTTTATTATTTCTATTGTTTTTCTTTTACTTGTATCTAATTTGTATAATTGCAATTTTATTTAATACCTGGAGGAAATTGCTCTTCTTCAATATTTGAAGATAAATCATTCTCCAATTCTTGATTAAGCCCTTTAATAAAATAATTGTATTTTTTAATTAGATAAACATAAAAAATTATATGTAATAATTTAATAATTACTTAATAGTATTTCTCACCTATTTCAATGAGCTCATCAAAATCTATAAATTGTAATAACAGTGTTAGTGATTTAGACAATCAGTGAAATTCTACTTATTTAATAGATTAAATTTACTGATTAGGGGATACTGGGGCGAAAAGTTAAATTTTGCATAAATGATTTTTAGACAATATAATCCGCTTAGATGCAAATATTTATACATCAATATTGTAGGTCAACTTTTCCCCTACAACTTTCAATAAAAAAGTTTCTGATATTTTCGCATAAAATACATGTTTTGTCCTTCTTTGAAAATTTTGTTTCTTTTAACTTTATCTAAATAAAATAAACTTTAACTAAATTCTATTTCTAGCCTACTGAAACTATTTTCTGATAGGTGTTAAGTAGTAGATAAGTTAAACTATACGTAAACAAGTAGTTTATTGAACGTGAATGATTTATCATTTCGCCCCAGGGTGCGTTTCTTGCTTTAACAACAAATATAAAAAATCTGACTAAAGATATTTAGCAAATACCTTTAGGTATCTCTTCAGGGGACCCTAATAATGAAGTAAAAAAATCGCGGTGAGAATAAATGCAAAAAATATACTTAAAAGTTAAAATTTTCTTTTAGGAAAAAATTTTCAAAAGTAGGGTGAAAAAGAATTTAAATATGGACACCACAAAAATTAGCAGAATGTCACATAACTCCGCACATTTATTTAGGGTGATAACACTCTTCTATAATTAAAATTGAAATGCTCTAACTATTTCCGTTCGAAAGATAATGAATTTTAACTGTTTTCACAATTTAACTTTTCGCCCCAGTCTCCCCTAACAAGTAATAAGTATTTCACTTATTACAATTAGTAAGAATACACTTGTTTGTACACACTACACAGCAAAATTATATTTAGTACGTTACCTAGTAGTGGATATGTTAAATTTCCATCTCTTTGTTCTGAGCATGAATTTGAAGGTTCTGTGATTTCGCCAGGTAAAAGAGCACGTAGATTTTCTGACACAGATTCTATATTTTTTATATGTTTATCAATAAATATATTTATTATTTAGTACTAATTAAAAATAATTCTATAAATTATTTATATATAATGAGTAAAAACCTGGTGTATTTTCATTCTTTTTCAACAATGAAGAATCAGATAACAACTTGTTCTCTTCATTATCAATTCCTAAAACATTTTAAAAATAATTATAAAAATAAAATTTTGATTTGATTTATAACTTTACGACGGTTATTGTTGCTTACTCATTTGAAACAATAGATTTTGGTAAGCCAGACGCCGATTACAATTTATGACATTCAGTAAAAAATTCTTTAATGTCAAGTGTTTTACTATCAGTTTCTCTTGACATTCGATTATATGCGAATCTAGGGTCCATTTTAACATTTTACTTTGCTTTAATTTTTTTCCATCTTTCACTTTAGTTAATTTTTTATCTTCGCGTTTCATTAATTTTACAATTATTTCTGAGAAACAATAAAGTCAATTTACGTAAAAAATAAAATTTTTTTAAGTTTTCAAACTTAAAAATATATTATTAGTTAATTCGTGAATTATGTTAGGTAGATTAGAATTTAACTAAATAAAGTTTAAGCAAATGAAAATTCTGTTAAGTGAAAAGTCGATTACGTAGCTGTTTTTTTAAATTGAAAGTGTTACTTAACATTAACCTTCAGAACACAAAGAAATAAATTTATAAGTTTCAATAGATAATGAAACCAACTCACTGATTAATTTTAAAATATCAGGGTCTGACACTTGACTTATTGATGAAAGTAAATAAGTAAAAAATGTTGCTTCGAATGGATCCATTTTCTGGTTGCAATGGAAAGAGTTGACTGATTCTGCCAATTGTGTCCAATTCGTTCTTAAGTATGTCATATATGAATTCACCAGTGGTTCTTGAAGTGCTATTTTATCAGCCTCAGTTTGAATAATATGAATTCCATCTTCAAAATGTGATAATGGGAGTAGTGGTAGTCCTAATGCCATCCACAAAACACTTATGCAATTATCTGGAATTTTCAGTGATTTCCACTCAGCCAATAATTCCTATTATATGAGTAAAAATTAAAAAAAGAAAAAATACTAAATAATAATATAAATAATATAATGCGATCTGAACATTGAACAAAGATATTCAAATTCAAATTTTTAATCCAAGTTTGTAATTAAAAGGGTTGTAAGTTTCCTGCAAATTTGCATTAATCTGAAAAATGCAGTACTTTTTAAACAATTAATTATTACTATTATATAATGATGCCAAGTTCCTTGAAGAATTGATTCTTTCAAATTTTGATGAATAGCATTTACAGAGTTTTCTTTAAAACCGCATTTGATTTGCTCAACTTTCAACGATGGTATTAATTCTCTAATTTTACACCAAACCGCATCATATTATTGTAAACTCCTATCAGACATCAAAATCCATATTGGCGTATAAATCTTCGAAATTAAATTTACATAAAATTAAAATTAAATAACTGCATCAGTAGGGCAAAGAATTAAATATTAAATTTTTAATTTATTCACCGGATCTATTTTGCTCTCATTTTTTTTCACACTCACAGTGTAAAGATGCGAAAAATCATGTTTCATGGAAGGAAGCTGCAAGATTTAATTAATTATAATTTGTATTTCAAATTTTATATTAATTTTTTTAAAATTTTATTTAATAATTTACTTTGTTTTTTTAAATATTTAAGTAATTTAAATCTTACACGAATCGAGTCTTCAATGTATCCAGTGGAAAATGTGTTTTCTCGCAAAAATGTACTCATTAGATTAGACATAAATATCGTTGCACACGATTCACCCACAGTTATAGTTTCTTGGTAATAACCTTTTAAAAAAATATTATTTTCTAAACTCTCTGCAAAGCCTTCCATTGTTTCCGGAATTTGTCCCGCATTTATATTTCTTTTCCTGCTCATCATAGTTTTGACTGATTCAAAATTAACCAATTTCTTTATTTCTTCTAATTGGCTGCGTAAAGAAAATTACTAATTAATATTTAAATTCAATTAAAATTTTTAATTAAATTAAATTAAAAAAAGTTTTATAAATAAAATTATTTCATAATAAGTAAAATAAAATAATCGAAATTTAAAATTTGTTATTGCATATTTCAACTTTAATTAATAATTAATTTTGCTCACTCTTCGAGAACTTGATCGTAAATAGATCGCAAAGGTAAAGACGTGTTTTCAGCCATGAGTAACATTTTTTCTTTCAATCGACACAAAGTTGCTCCATGAGCTACTGGTTTATCAATATGACATCCGAAAAATTTTACTTCCTTAGTACTTTCATCTTCTTCTGCTGTAGCAGTACAGGAAGTACTTGCCCGTGTTGCACATCGATAAATGATTTTCTCCTTTTTATTTTTGTCTGATTCTTCCTTGCTTTTCATTTTATGATAAAAGAACCCATCAGCGAAATATTTTGAAGTCCCTTTTCTTTCACCATTTAACTCTTCCATTTCTCAATTTTCCAATAAAGCGCACAGTATATTTGTAATATAATAATATTACAAATTGTCGTGATGATTTGACAACTTGTGTTTATATGTGAATATAGTAATATACAAATTGAAAATAATAAAACAATAGACAGTGTGAATATCAGCATTTCACATTATTTATTCTTATATCAAATTAATACCAGTATTTTTTTGAATATATTACAAAATAAGAAGAGAAATACAATTTTTTTAAATTTGTATCTATAAGAATAAGGTAAAATTATTGAATTACAAATTACAAAATGTTTTGTAAAATTTATTATTATCATTATCATTTTTATTAAAGACAAATGGAAAAGGAAGAAGGTGAACGCAAGAATTCATCAAAATACTTTTATCGTGGTTTCTATTATCATAAAAAATCGAAAAAGAATGACGATACATCAGAATTTTCTACCTTTCGCTGTGTCAATTATGATACTTACGGTTGTCTTGGTACAACAAAGGAAAATAATGAATCCAAATTAGTAGAAATTACAAAAGGTCACAATCACGAAGCAGATGTAAATGCGCAAAAAGTATCAAAATTAAAAAATGTAATTTTAAAAGAAAGCGAAAACACTCCTTTGAAACCAAAAAACTTGTTCAATTCCATTGTTTCTAAGTAAGTTTTTCAATTTTAGTAAATTTTTTTCTGATATTATAAATATATAATATATAATATATTATATTATAATAATATAATATAATAATAATAATATATTATATAATATATTATATATATATTATATATATATATTATAATATATATAATATATTATATAATATATTATATTATTATTTCTTGTTTTATAATATATGAGAAAAAGCGTGCATCAAAATGTACAGTAAATTTTCGAAAGATTTTCTAAAAGCGCATTATTTTCGAATTCGTTAATGTATAGACAACCACCGGAAATTGGATCATCCTTAAATTTTAATTCTATGAGATCCTCGATATTTCGTAGAAGTGAAAATAAATTACCAAATATTCCAAAATACTTGACAGATTTTGAGAATGTGTTAAAAAATAATTTCGAACCGACTAAAAGCTTGTTTCGTGGCATTGTCGAAGTAAACGATGGATCGGCAGCTGCAATATTTGGATCGGATTTAATGATATCGTTATTAAATTCGTGTGACACAAAGAAAGTTGATATCGATGCAACTTTTTCGGTAAAAATATATAACAAAACAATTAATCTAAATAATATTATTTAATATATATTAATTTATTAATATATCTTAAATGTAAATATTATATTCTATATATTAAAAAAATTAAAATTTACATTTATTATTGTAATAATGAATTATAGGTTTCTCCACGTCAAATGTCAATTTATCAATTATACACTGTTCATATCCAAAATCGGGGTACAGTGAGTATATATGAAAATAAACCAACATTTTTAAACAAATTAATAAAATGTTTATTTAAATATAATTATACTGTCAATATCAATATTTTTTAAATTTTTTAGAATTTTTGTTCATTATGGGTTTTAATGACACGAAAAACCTTACTGTTATACACTGCCGTATGGAAAAAGATTTTGAATCTAGCTCCCAAATTGAAAGAGAATTTGATAGAAATCATGTCAGATTTCGAGACCGCTATACAAAAGTCAATAACCAACAGCATTTCAAAGGAGATCACAGTTAAAGCATGCTGGTTTCATTTCTGCCAGGTTATAATTATTCTGCATACATAAATCATTTAAATCATTTTTATATTTTTTTAGGTTAAAAAAAGTTTTATTGATTACTTTTTTTTAAAAGTAACAAATGTATTTTTTCCATTTGTTAATTTAATTGTTTTAAGAAAATTTAACACTCAGTTTTCGATACGAAAGATTTCATTGACAATACCAAATCTCTTTCCATCAGAAACAATGAGATAATTTTATTGTTTTGAAAATTGTAATAATATTTTATAACATGAAATTATTCTAAAATTATAAATTATTATTTAGGCATTGTTAAGGTATTGGAAAAAACTAGGTTTAATTCGTAAAAAGGCTCCAAAAACTGTACTATGGATGGTGATGAACCTTGCGTTAGCACCTGATACTCGATTTTCAGAAGGTTTAGAATTGATAGAAAAAGTATGCAAGGATGATATACAAAATTTCAAAGATATTAAAACCTTTCTCGATTATGTCAAGAATCAGTGGATTCCTCTAGCATCTGTGCTATGTGTTTGTGATTGTAGCCAAAGAACAAACAATGCAGTAGAATCATTTCATAAAAACGCATTTGACGAATTAGGAGGCAATCATCAATTAAAAGGGTTGTAAGTTTCCTGCAAATTTGCATTAATCTGAAAAATGCAGTACTTTTTAAACAATTAATTATTACTATTATATAATGATGCCAAGTTCCTTGAAGAATTGATTCTTTCAAATTTTGATGAATAGCATTTACAGAGTTTTCTTTAAAACCGCATTTGATTTGCTCAACTTTCAACGATGGTATTAATTCTCTAATTTTACACCAAACCGCATCATATTATTGTAAACTCCTATCAGACATCAAAATCCATATTGGCGTATAAATCTTCGAAATTAAATTTACATAAAATTAAAATTAAATAACTGCATCAGTAGGGCAAAGAATTAAATATTAAATTTTTAATTTATTCACCGGATCTATTTTGCTCTCATTTTTTTTCACACTCACAGTGTAAAGATGCGAAAAATCATGTTTCATGGAAGGAAGCTGCAAGATTTAATTAATTATAATTTGTATTTCAAATTTTATATTAATTTTTTTAAAATTTTATTTAATAATTTACTTTGTTTTTTTAAATATTTAAGTAATTTAAATCTTACACGAATCGAGTCTTCAATGTATCCAGTGGAAAATGTGTTTTCTCGCAAAAATGTACTCATTAGATTAGACATAAATATCGTTGCACACGATTCACCCACAGTTATAGTTTCTTGGTAATAACCTTTTAAAAAAATATTATTTTCTAAACTCTCTGCAAAGCCTTCCATTGTTTCCGGAATTTGTCCCGCATTTATATTTCTTTTCCTGCTCATCATAGTTTTGACTGATTCAAAATTAACCAATTTCTTTATTTCTTCTAATTGGCTGCGTAAAGAAAATTACTAATTAATATTTAAATTCAATTAAAATTTTTAATTAAATTAAATTAAAAAAAGTTTTATAAATAAAATTATTTCATAATAAGTAAAATAAAATAATCGAAATTTAAAATTTGTTATTGCATATTTCAACTTTAATTAATAATTAATTTTGCTCACTCTTCGAGAACTTGATCGTAAATAGATCGCAAAGGTAAAGACGTGTTTTCAGCCATGAGTAACATTTTTTCTTTCAATCGACACAAAGTTGCTCCATGAGCTACTGGTTTATCAATATGACATCCGAAAAATTTTACTTCCTTAGTACTTTCATCTTCTTCTGCTGTAGCAGTACAGGAAGTACTTGCCCGTGTTGCACATCGATAAATGATTTTCTCCTTTTTATTTTTGTCTGATTCTTCCTTGCTTTTCATTTTATGATAAAAGAACCCATCAGCGAAATATTTTGAAGTCCCTTTTCTTTCACCATTTAACTCTTCCATTTCTCAATTTTCCAATAAAGCGCACAGTATATTTGTAATATAATAATATTACAAATTGTCGTGATGATTTGACAACTTGTGTTTATATGTGAATATAGTAATATACAAATTGAAAATAATAAAACAATAGACAGTGTGAATATCAGCATTTCACATTATTTATTCTTATATCAAATTAATACCAGTATTTTTTTGAATATATTACAAAATAAGAAGAGAAATACAATTTTTTTAAATTTGTATCTATAAGAATAAGGTAAAATTATTGAATTACAAATTACAAAATGTTTTGTAAAATTTATTATTATCATTATCATTTTTATTAAAGACAAATGGAAAAGGAAGAAGGTGAACGCAAGAATTCATCAAAATACTTTTATCGTGGTTTCTATTATCATAAAAAATCGAAAAAGAATGACGATACATCAGAATTTTCTACCTTTCGCTGTGTCAATTATGATACTTACGGTTGTCTTGGTACAACAAAGGAAAATAATGAATCCAAATTAGTAGAAATTACAAAAGGTCACAATCACGAAGCAGATGTAAATGCGCAAAAAGTATCAAAATTAAAAAATGTAATTTTAAAAGAAAGCGAAAACACTCCTTTGAAACCAAAAAACTTGTTCAATTCCATTGTTTCTAAGTAAGTTTTTCAATTTTAGTAAATTTTTTTCTGATATTATAAATATATAATATATAATATATTATATTATAATAATATAATATAATAATAATAATATATTATATAATATATTATATATATATTATATATATATATTATAATATATATAATATATTATATAATATATTATATTATTATTTCTTGTTTTATAATATATGAGAAAAAGCGTGCATCAAAATGTACAGTAAATTTTCGAAAGATTTTCTAAAAGCGCATTATTTTCGAATTCGTTAATGTATAGACAACCACCGGAAATTGGATCATCCTTAAATTTTAATTCTATGAGATCCTCGATATTTCGTAGAAGTGAAAATAAATTACCAAATATTCCAAAATACTTGACAGATTTTGAGAATGTGTTAAAAAATAATTTCGAACCGACTAAAAGCTTGTTTCGTGGCATTGTCGAAGTAAACGATGGATCGGCAGCTGCAATATTTGGATCGGATTTAATGATATCGTTATTAAATTCGTGTGACACAAAGAAAGTTGATATCGATGCAACTTTTTCGGTAAAAATATATAACAAAACAATTAATCTAAATAATATTATTTAATATATATTAATTTATTAATATATCTTAAATGTAAATATTATATTCTATATATTAAAAAAATTAAAATTTACATTTATTATTGTAATAATGAATTATAGGTTTCTCCACGTCAAATGTCAATTTATCAATTATACACTGTTCATATCCAAAATCGGGGTACAGTGAGTATATATGAAAATAAACCAACATTTTTAAACAAATTAATAAAATGTTTATTTAAATATAATTATACTGTCAATATCAATATTTTTTAAATTTTTTAGAATTTTTGTTCATTATGGGTTTTAATGACACGAAAAACCTTACTGTTATACACTGCCGTATGGAAAAAGATTTTGAATCTAGCTCCCAAATTGAAAGAGAATTTGATAGAAATCATGTCAGATTTCGAGACCGCTATACAAAAGTCAATAACCAACAGCATTTCAAAGGAGATCACAGTTAAAGCATGCTGGTTTCATTTCTGCCAGGTTATAATTATTCTGCATACATAAATCATTTAAATCATTTTTATATTTTTTTAGGTTAAAAAAAAGTTTTATTGATTACTTTTTTTTAAAAGTAACAAATGTATTTTTTCCATTTGTTAATTTAATTGTTTTAAGAAAATTTAACACTCAGTTTTCGATACGAAAGATTTCATTGACAATACCAAATCTCTTTCCATCAGAAACAATGAGATAATTTTATTGTTTTGAAAATTGTAATAATATTTTATAACATGAAATTATTCTAAAATTATAAATTATTATTTAGGCATTGTTAAGGTATTGGAAAAAACTAGGTTTAATTCGTAAAAAGGCTCCAAAAACTGTACTATGGATGGTGATGAACCTTGCGTTAGCACCTGATACTCGATTTTCAGAAGGTTTAGAATTGATAGAAAAAGTATGCAAGGATGATATACAAAATTTCAAAGATATTAAAACCTTTCTCGATTATGTCAAGAATCAGTGGATTCCTCTAGCATCTGTGCTATGTGTTTGTGATTGTAGCCAAAGAACAAACAATGCAGTAGAATCATTTCATAAAAACGCATTTGACGAATTAGGAGGCAATCATCCGCATATGTATGCTTTCTTAAGTAAGTTCTGAGTTATTTATAGACAAAAAGAAATAATCGAAAATTTTTCAGTGATTTAAATGTATTGTTTATTATTATTTAGTATTCGTATAGACTTCATATTGTACGAAAGTTTTTTTAAAATATCCAATGAAAATTCAAAACAGCAGTGGGGATATAATTATTTCTATTCGTATATTACTATAAGCATTCAAAATTAAAAAATTTAAGTTATGTTATACAATATAAAAAAATAATTAAAATAAAATCACAACTTACAAATCAAACAAATCATTATTAATAAATGATAATAGCAAAAATGGCGGCCTACATTGCTTCCGAAGATTTACAGTACTTAAGAGTTTTGAAAGGTTATTCCATTAGACGTAGAGAGTCGAAAACTTCTATTACCAACGACGCTCATATTCTTTATTGTCAAAAAGAATTGATTGATAAAAAGTAAGGAAACTAAAGAATTTTTTTTACATCCTATCATTACAATATTACTAACATAACTAACGTTATTATTATTATAATTATTATTATTATTATTATCATTATTAATATTATAATAACTTACCTTATTATTTATGTAATTAATATATTTTGATTATTAAATATAGAATTGATTTAGAAGAGTTTTTGAAAACAGTCGTTACACGTGAACATCAAAATCAATTAAAAGACTTGCTAGAAATTACTGGTATGCGATAAAAAGTTAAACCTATTTAAATATTGATAAAATTGTGATAATTTAATATAAAATATTTAATATTTCTAATATTGAAACGCTTGTTGAAAAAATATAACAAATTTTACGCATTATCAAAAAGTTTTTGAGGAGTTTCATATAATCACAATATGTATTTCAAAACGTATTAAAAAGATTGGAAATTTTGTATTACACAATTTAAAGACAAAATCACATATCACATTCTGAGGGGATAGGGAATCAAGCAATTTGTGACACGAATAAGAAAAAATGGCGTTAATGTACATACTAGAGTGTGAAAAGGGGTAGAGAGGGTAAAAAATGGTCAAAAATAGTGTGACGTAATATTTGGATAGCCCTTAAAGTATTTATATAAAACTAAAAAACTTTTTGATGCTGTAAATTGTAAAAACATAAAAAGTTAAAATACAATAAATTTATAGAATTATCAGCAACATTAGAAAAGGATATTGAGCCTACAACAACAAGAAAACGAAAACCAACAGAGAAAAAACAAAAAGACTTGAAGCCATCCTCAAAAAAAAGAGCGCCACGAGTTTAAAACACAAATATTTAATTCAACACGTTATCTTTAATGTTCAGTCATTTTTGACGAATAAAAAATTATTCCATATTTCGCAATGTAACAAATATAATTTCATACAATAAAAGTTTATACATACAAATTAAAATAGTCTTTATAATGTTGTGTCAAAAAGATTTGAATTGGTCTTTAAAGATTTGAAATCTTGAAAAATTATATTGTTGTATTGTCGGTCTTTGAACATTCGGTTCATGAAGATTCAAAATATTAAAATCTATATTAATGTACAGTCGGTCCATGAAGATTCGAAATTTTGAAAAATTATATTGTTGTAGAGTCGGTCTTTGTACAGTCGGTCCATGAAGATTCGAAATTTTGAAAAATTATATTGTTGTAGAGTCGGTCTTTGTACAGTCGGTCCATGAAGATTCGAAATTTTGAAAAATTATATTGTTGTAGAGTCGGTCTTTGTACAGTCGGTCCACAAAGATTCGAAATTTTGAAAAATTATATTGTTGTATAGTCGGTCTTTGTACAGTCGGTCCATGAAGATTCGAAATTTTGAAAAATTATATTGTTGTAGAGTCGGTCTTTGTACAGTCGGTCCACGAAGATTCGAAATTTTGAAAAATTATATTGTTGTAGAGTCGGTCTTTGTACAGTCGGTCCATGAAGATTCGAAATTTTGAAAAATTATATTGTTGTAGAGTCGGTCTTTGTACAGTCGGTCCATGAAGATTCGAAATTTTGAAAAATTATATTGTTGTAGAGTCGGTCTTTGTACAGTCGGTCCACGAAGATTCGAAATTTTGAAAAATTATATTGTTGTAGAGTCGGTCTTTGTACAGTCGGTCCACGAAGATTCGAAATTTTGAAAAACTATATTGTTGTAGAGTCGGTCTTTGTACAGTCGGTCCATGATGATTCGAAATTTTGAAAAATTATATTGTTGTAGAGTCGGTCTTTGTACAGTCGGTCCATGAAGATTCGAAATTTTGAAAAATTATATTGTTGTAGAGTCGGTCTTTGTACAGTCGGTCCATGAAGATTTGAAATTTTGAAAAATTATATTGTTGTAGAGTCGGTCTTTGTACAGTCGGTCCACGAAGATTCGAAATTTTGAAAAATTATATTGTTGTAGAGTCGGTCTTTGTACAGTCGGTCCACGAAGATTCGAAATTTTGAAAAACTATATTGTTGTAGAGTCGGTCTTTGTACAGTCGGTCCATGATGATTCGAAATTTTGAAAAATTATATTGTTGTAGAGTCGGTCTTTGTACAGTCGGTCCATGAAGATTCGAAATTTTGAAAAATTATATTGTTGTAGAGTCGGTCTTTGTACAGTCGGTCCATGAAGATTCGAAATTTTGAAAAATTATATTGTTGTATAGTCGGTCTTTGTACAGTCGGTCCATGAAGATTCGAAATTTTGAAAAATTATATTGTTGTAGAGTCGGTCTTTGTACAGTCGGTCCATGAAGATTCGAAATTTTGAAAAATTATATTGTTGTAGAGTCGGTCTTTGTACAGTCGGTCCATAAAGATTCAAAAGATTAAAAATTTCTAAAGATTATATTGTTGTACAGTCGGTCTTTGTACAGTTGGTCCATGA